GTATGAAGTTCCCTAAATATTTGTTTTTTATTTCTTTAATCCCGTTTGAATTCAAAGTCCAAAATATAATCTTGCGTTAAAATTATTTTAAGTCTGTTTCTATTTTACTTCGTAAATTATATAAGAAACACTACACCAATAAATGAAAAAAACCAATGAAACCCAGTTAATTCAGCAATGCCACAAGTTCATTCGAAATGTGGAGAGACATTTTATTTGCAAGACACAAGGAAAAACTACATGTTTATCTCAAGATATTTCCTTGGCAAAGCAAGGTTTTGACCTTACGGTGTACGATGTTAAAAATAAATAACCGAATACCATAAGAGAGAGCAGTAATGACAAGATAAATATTTTAATTTCCTAGAGCGAATAGCATAAAAAGAAAATACCAAGCCAGTGTAAGAAAGTGTTGTCATTTCATAATGCCATGACCAAAATCATAGCCATAGCAGCCGATTTCTCCATAACCACAAACGACTGTTTTCTGCTTTACTGCAATTTTTTCAATTTTTAATTGCCATGTTTTTTGTTATAACGGATCGCATTGCTATATGAAATTAATCTCATTAAAATGAAAGATGAAAGACTTATTGAGGATGTGCGTAGCTAATCCTGTATGTATGAAAAAAGTCATGCTGCGAGCTTCAACATTTCTTGTGAAAACCTTTGTCGTCTATAGAAATAATATTTTTTTTCTTTCACAGAAAGTGTGCATGTAAAGCGATGCAATCGTTTAGATATCCTCGTCTTCTATTTTAGTGAAATTCTTCTTTATGCTGAGCGTGTGTCGAACTTGTGTCCGCCGTGCCGTTGATCCTTCTGATTATACATATTGGTTCAAAACGCTTCAATATTGCAGCCTTTTATATTCAAGAACATTTTGGACTTATGTGGGTTTAGGAACTCATTCAAATTTATACGATGGGCACGCCATCTTCTTTTCCACTTTCATGAATATCCCATTTTTTAATTTTTCCTACGCTACTGTCATTGACAGCAGCTCGTTTTGCCTTAAGAACAATATGTATGTGATTCAACCAATATATATTTTAACATATTTTAAAGAAAAATAAATTTTTTACCAGGCGGATAACAAATGTAACTCATCACAAGATGGTAACAAATATTTAATTAATAGACACAAGAGGCACAATAGCTAAAGACAAAGCATCGTTTTAATACCCTACAGGGAAAAATACTAGTTGGCAACTAGAATTTAACTAGTTTACATTTTTATACCAACTAATTCATCTTCATCCATTTTCCATGTAAGCAACTGGCATTTTTAATACGGTCCTCCGAGCTGACAATTGTCCTTCTATGCATCAGCTTCATACTAGTTTAATACTAATTCATTTAGGCATGTTGAATTTTTACTTCCGAACGGAGACTCTCACGCACCACATTGAAGACCTCTAACCACCAGACTATCGTCATAATATTTGGAGGAACGAAAGCTGCGCATTTCAAAAGAACTTTTTAGAAAATGAAACTCAGCCGTGTAATACTAAATACAAAAGCAAGATGCGATCGAGGTGGAGGTGATAATTTCTGTTCCCCCAAAAATTAAAATAAAAAATTTCATCTTTAACATGCTAGTATATAACTGGAATTTTTGCATACTAATTGGTTTTCCACTGCAGGGCAATTAAAAAATATATACTTACAAATATTCAAATACGCAGAAAATGATTTACTAACATTGTGTTTTAAACTAGTGAAATCCAAGAAAACCTCATAATTTCTCCAACCTCACCTCGATTGTATTAGGAACTATATAATTGGTTTTGTAACCGCTGAAGCAATTTTCGGCTAACAATGATGATGAACGAGTGAAGGCTTTTTATAAGGAATTTTATTTCGTGTCAGCGCTAATTAATTATCTGTTTGAAAAATATCTTCCCCTTAAATTTTTCCATTAAAACTGTAAACCATACTAAGCCTTGGATCACTAAGTCTATAAAACATCTTATAAATGACCGGTGTAGAGCTTATAAAAAACGTTAGATCAAATACAAGAACTTGAGGAATAAAGTAAGAACTGAATTGCGAAAAAGTAAAATGGCGTATCTTCCAAAGTATTATGGACAAATCTAAAATTACTGCGTATTAGTGGCGAAGAAGCAAAAACTTTTATGATTGATGCTGGTGTGATGAACTCATACTTATCACTTAACCCAGATACTGAAGTGGATGTTATAAAGTGCATTTATGTCTAAAACTAATACTGCCGTATGTGCTTCCCATGTTTATATCCAAATCAGTAGAGAATTGCCAATGTCATTCCGATGGTTAAAGATAACTCCTGCGATGCTCCCCAAGACTTCAGGCCCATCAGCATCTAACCAATATTGACAAAAGTGTTTGAAATAGTTATTATCGTTCAAATAGTATCACATCTGCGACTCCATGATTTATTGAGCGAACTCCAGTCTGGTTATATATCCAATCATAGTTGTTCCACAGCACTTACCTACCGTCTGAATGCTTTTAGACCCCTCTAAAGTTTTCGACACTGTAAACCGCGATATTCTACTATTAAAACAGAAAAGATATTTTGGTTTCAACACGTCAGCAATTAAGCTTATGAGAAGCTACTTATCGGACAGATATCAGCAAGTTCAGTGTGGGAATGTAATTTCAAATCAAAGAAATCACATCTGCAGTTCACCAGGGCTCTATTTTAGGGCCACTGCATATTGTTCACTGCTGCAAAAGTTATTTTATACATCTATATGCCGATGGTACACATATTTACGTCTCACGTCTTGGTGGTCCTGGTGATGATTTAATAGCTAGATTGAATGAGGATCAAACAATAATGGCCTAACATGGTCTATGTTAAAAGCTTAGAAAACAAAGGTACTTGCAATTAAAAGTAATAATATTGATCTCAGGAATCTGTCATCAATTGCTTTGAACGGGGTTTAACTAAAATTAGGATATTGTAAAAAACCCATAAATTACTGCACAATACAAATTCGACGTTACGTAATTTATGGCATACATGTGATTGTTTACCGATTACCATAAAACTTAAAGTAGTTCAATTCCTTATTATTCCCCAAAATTTCCTATTTTGAAGTAGTGTGTGGTACTCGAAGCTACGACTCTAGAAACAAATTAAATTTAGCTTTAAAGCACATCTCTTTGTACACCAAAAATATTCTCGGGTTCGCCTTTGAGAATTGTCTCAAGGTTTGCAATTTAATATATTTATTTAAAATCAAACAGAGTTATGTAAAAGCATTACTACTGACTTGGCTGATATCTCTAGCTGGGCGGCTGCCAGCGGTCTAATTTTAAATAAAAACAAGTGCTGTGTGCTGCCAATCAGTGCTAGAAAACTTCATAGACAATTATCCCTTAAAATTAGTCAGCAAGATTAAAAACTTAGGATACATTATTAACTCTAATCTTACATGCACGGATCATGTAAACTCCATAGTTAGTAAGGTCTATCTCATTCTGAGGAATCTTAGGCAGTCAGCTATCTATACACCCACTGCTACCAGACGCCGACTTGCTATACAAATTATTCTTCCGGTCATCATGTACTCTGAAGTCGTATACAGCAAACATGACAGTTTTTCTGCTCGTAAAATTGACGTTATGTTTAATAATGTCACACGGTATGTGTTTGGTCTTTCCAAATATGAGCACATTTCGTCTTGGAAGATCAGATATTAGGATGTACGATTGCGGACTATCATAAAGCCAGAAATTGTATTTTTCTTTGCAAACTCATCATGACTCAATCACCTAGTTATCTTTTTTCCAAGTTATCGTTTACGCGGTCAGCCAGAGTAGGTAATATAATAATACCTTTTCATAGATCACAGCAATCATCAAGGCTGTTCTTTGTCAATGCTAGTCGATTATGGAACTCTCTTCCTGCTAATTTAAGGAGGAAATTAAACAGAAGCAATTTCAAGAACCACATATATATGCATTTTAAAGGCCAAATTTCAAACATAGACTGACCATTTAATAATTGTTTAAGTTTTTGTCATACTCAACTCATTATATATTATAATTATTTTTATTTTTATTATTATTTTTGTTAAGGTATCTGTAAAGTAATATTTACTTATTCTTCACACTATCTCTGTTGTACTAAAAAAAGATATGGAAATCTTATTGTACTAATGCTTTGTTATTATTATTAAATAAAATAAATGTATTAATAAAGGCGGTGAATGTAGGATATCTCTTCCGCAAAATAATGTTTGTGCAATCTTCTCATACTCACAATATCGTTGTCCCTAAATACAAAACTTTGATGACCTCTAGATTGTTTGCTGTTGGTGCTGTCAGAATTTGGAACTCATTACCAATTTCAATAAAATGTGTCAAAACGATTGGATTCTTCAAAATGGCAGTTACAATCCTATTTGCATTATACCCATCCTAATTCTACTTACCTATGTTAGCATACTGTTGATATCTCTCCTTTTAGACTTAAAATAATCAAATTGTAATTCATTATACAAACATATATATGTTAATATGTGTGCAATGAAAAGTCTCTATGTCTTACTGTACATAAATTGAAATTGAAAAAATTTGAATTGAAATATGTATATATTTGGAGGGGTTGACATTCCCTACTGAGAGGCAAAAGCAATTTCAAAATTTAAATTTAAAATTTTGCTCGAAATTAATAAGAATGAAACCCGTACACAGTATTAACCACTGGGCTGAAACGGACGCCATTATTAAGAATCGCGTTCAATATAATTAGTGTAAGTATAGTAAGATAGAAATTTACAAATATTTTAATAAATCAGTTGCGTAGAAAATATGGCTATCAAAAAATTTGGAATGGCTAAACGCTGTAAACTGAGTAGACAACAAATTAATTCAAATGAATTCCTTACAATAATTCGATTTAAAGTCTTCAATAAGCCTACTTTGTGAGTTCATACCGTTAAAACTCAGCATGTTACTTAATTTAAATTTATTATAATAGAAGTAAATATGCATATTTCCTACAGATACATACAAAATGTTCCGGCAATTCGTGGCATTCACAAACCGATATAAAATTGTGCGTGGCATGCTCTCGTATGCGATTCTGTGGCCTTGTGGTTGTCTTATCGAGCAAACCCTTATCGAAAAGCGGACATTCCGAAATTACGACTGGATGAAATGCCTGAAGTAAGTATTCACACATATGTTATGTATGTATGCTGTTGCATCAAATAATGTCGCCGGATTCATTCGGCCAAACGAGATGCATCCTTCATATCTTAACAATCTTAAATTTGGTTTAAAACAGGTTCAGTTTGTTTGGTGGACTTTTTATGGGACCAACAATATACATGTGGATACGCCTAGCTGGAGCCATGTGGCCCCGCACCGACATTAAGTCATCACTCTGCAAAGCCATTACCGAACAGGCGGCCTATGATCCGTTTGCGATAAGCACGTTCCTCTTTGTCATGAGTCTAATGGATGGCCGAACGTATGAGCAGGCCAAGCGGGAGGTAAGTAAAGAATGAAAATTTGATACGGATGCATGTACATACATACATTACATACGCACACTTAAAACAGGCCAAGTGGCATTTGGTTCTTATATACTTACAAGCATATATCGTTGATATTTACCCAGCAGAGAATAGGTAGACTAGTTTGCAAATATACTAGTTAAATACTGAAGACGAAATTATGCAAAATTGTTGAGAACCAAAATTATTCTAGTATTTAAAGGACGAAAATATACTATTTTGCCAGAGATTAGAATTATACTAGCATTTTTCCGTAAAATCTGGACTAGTTCGCAAAAATTCTAGTATATGAAGTAGCCGGTTGCGGACAAATACATACCAGTTAGTAATTTTGATAAAAGGACTTTCTCAAAACCATTCTTAAATCTACCTTAACACACATAAAGAGAATTCATTAAAATCGGTTCAACCGTTTAGAATGCCGGAATCAATCGAACTGGTTTTTGACTAGTACAATACAGACTGAGCAAACTAGTTCTCAACTGGTAGGAACGAGCCAGTATTTTAAATGATATATTTATATATATATAATTGGCCCTTTGTAACCGCTGAAGCGATTTTCGGCCAAGCTCCTCCCCCAATTTGTGGTTTTGCGTCTTGATGTTTTTCCACCAAATGGAGGGATTTACAGTTTATACTAAGCCGCCTCCGAACGACTGATGTTTTTTTATGAGGAGCTTTATTTTATGTCAGAAATACACTCGTAGGGGTTGACATTCCCTGCCGGTATATACGCACTGGAAAATCGCTTAAGCGGTTTCAAAGCGCCAATTAATATATGTGTATGAATATGAACTGGGATTTAACTAGAATAAAGCATAGACTGACAATTTAGAGTTTGTAAGACATCGCGGTGTTGAAATTCCAGTTGCTTGCATGGAAATATGCAAATGAAAAACGAACTGATGAATAGCTTGAATTTTTCCCTGCAGGGTACTCGTAAATCCATCAGTTGGTACTGTTGGTAGAAATAAAGTATATACAGACATACATTTGTATGCATGTATGTATCTCTTAAGTGTTAACAGTTGTTTTAGGCCTCGCTAATGTAACTTAAATGACAACTTATTGTTTGTGTTGTTGTTGACTTAAGGCTACTAAAGAATGCTGTTGTGTACGCCTGCCCAAAAGCTCGTTCGGCTCTATATTTTCCATCTAAAACAATGACAAACATTTGACGCCTCACCTCACGTAACGATAACACTTACTGGCATCTCTGCTTCTTCTTACATGTAATGAGCTACTCTGCCGCTCTTGTAGTGTATGGTATGGAAGGCTAGTGTTTTTGCAGCGCAGGGGCAGGCAGTTGTAATGCACAGACGTCAACACAACTGAAGGCAAATCAAGACGAGACATCGTTAAATAAGAATTTGGAGCACATGGAGACGTACGCAGGAGCATATGCTAAAAGTATATGATATGTACATATATACATACATACACATGATAGATTTCAAATGCTCCTTGTAGAACATTTGGGTACTTTACGTTATGATTGCTGTTTTACAGGTTGTTTTTTTTGGCATTTCGAAGTACGAGTAAACAGACTTCAATTATTTGAAATTAGAATATTTAATTATTTCAATTCAAAAACCATGATAAGATCATTTACAAGTAAAATTTGAAGACTTTTAGGTCATTACACCGTAATTCAATTAGAGCAAAAGTGTAAGAAAGAACTAGGAATATTACATTTCACTTTTTCATTTTTACTACTTATTTTTAAGTATATAAAATCTTAAAAATTATAACTCCACTATAGAAATTGTATTTCCTTTGTAAATTTTTCCTTAACGACATGAACAAACGAATGCAGCAAAAAGTCTCTAGCCAGCGTAGCCGCTGTTTTTGATTCGCTGAACTTTATCCATGTCGCCGTATATTTCGTACAGCTCATCATTCCATCGGCTGCGTTAGGCGAATACGAATTGCCAATGCGCGACGGAAGGCAAAACCTTTCTCTCGAAAACTCCTATCGCCGATTCATTAGATGTTTTCATCGTCCATACCTCCCTTCATATAGTAGTATAAGCGACTTGTAGAGTTTGGTTTTCGTTCGTCGGGAGATGGCTTTACTTTTCAATCCCAAGTAGTACTCTTAACAAGAATGATTCTGTGTTGGATTGCTCAGGTTGACAATGTTGTTGTCGTTAATACTGGTTCCAAGTTAGACGAAGTTATCTACGACTTCAAAGCTATGAATGGGAGCCGAGTCGCGAAAGCGATTACGGTTTGTTTGATGACAAGAGATATTTCGTTTTGACGCTTCCTTATCCAGTCTGAAAAAAGCAGAACTCACGGCGAGGTTGCTGAGTCCAATAATGTCAATATCATCGGCGTACGCCAGCAGCTAAGTACTCTAATAGCAGGTTGTACCTCTGCCCCTCTAATTATTTTCTCCAGCAATAAGTTAAAAAAGCCACACGATAAGTAATCACTCTATCTGAAAGGCTCGGAGAGGTACTTCCCGATCTGACGGAGCTTTGAGTGTTACTTAACGTCAGTTTACATAGCAGTATAAGTTTTACTTTAAAATCGACCAAGAGGTGGTGAGTGTCGATCGTTTTTTCACGGGTCTCTTTTTCAAGACATGGTGCATGGTGAATATCTGGTCAATGGTTGACTTAGGTATAAAGCCACACTGATAAGTTCCAATCAGTTTTCTGACGGTGCACTTTAGTCTTTCATACAAAGTATGACCTTATATGATCTTCCGACCATATTCTGCAAAGTTGCTCATGCATGCAATTTGTCAGCTCTTCACCGCGCCATGTTGGAATAGCTCAGCCAGTCGTCAGCTCCAGCCGGGTAATGGAACAATTTTTCCAAACGTCATCAATTGGAGTTGCGGGTTAATCTTCTCCGGGTGTTTCAGTTTCTCTGCCATTCAGCAGTCTGGAGATATATTCCCTTTATAGATTCAGTATTATCTGGACATCACTAGCTCATCCCTCTGCGTCTTACAAGAGTTTGCTCTGGTCTTAAAACCTCCCGTAGGTTGGCCTCTGTATATCTTTGTCTGCAGATGAGTATTGCTTCCCTCTTCAGCCCTCGGTATATATCCAATCGCAAGGTTGGGAGGTTGGCAGTCTATTTTCTCTCCACCACGATATGGCAATCCTCATCATACCAGCTGTTTTTGCGACCTTTACGAAATGCAATAGTTTCGTTTTCAGCTGCACGTAGGGAGTTTGCGCTGCCGTACCACAGTTCAGTATACCGAACTGCTAATTGGTGCTCTCAAAGAGCAGGAGTGTAAGTTGAGTAGAAAGCCGCTCGGCAGTCTGTTGTGATTGCAGCTTTTCGACGTCGAACTGTCCTTGGGGTTGTTGATGGGCGTTTTTTAATACAATGGCTTAATCCTGAGTGACTGACTGATCAACCAACAGCCAAAGCCATTAATGGTAGATAACTCAGAGGGTGTGTTGAGCGTATAACGTAGGTACAGACAAATAATGATTTTCCTGGATGTGAACCTGGGTCCGATCTTTAGGAAAAATTTTAATTATTTTTAATTCATTCGACTTTCCTGAGATTTGGTACATAGGTAGCTCTTTGCCTAAACTGAGTTTGGAAATATAAAACAATAATCATATTTATGGTTCGGTTTTCTTGAAATTTGAAAATTAGAAACATCTTTTTCCTACATTTTCACCTAATTAGCTGAAGTTATAAAAAATAACATGCAAACCGAATGAAATCCTTATTAGAACCATCTTAAAATGCCGTCCGCGACAAACTCTATAATGAAATATATTAAAAAATTTTAAGTCAGATTTTCTAATTGCGGTCGCGACTCGGCGAGTGTATATCGCTTCAGCGGTTACAAAGCACCAATTATATATACATATAATATAAAGTAAAGTATATGTAAGTTTACGAAATTTATTCAACCGCTTATATATACATATTTTTTTTAAGGTAATTCATTTAATGCTGAATCTACTATAATAAACATAAGGCAAAAGTAAGTTTACAATTCTTAAAACTAAATTAAAAACGTTTAGCTCGGGTTAACTCAGAACCATTTTCAAACTGCGACGCTTTCTTTAGTAGGCGAGAACATCTCTTCGTCTAAGTCGGGAATTTCTGTATGAGCTGCACATAGCGTTAGCTAATGGGTTGGAATGATTTTTCAATTTTATGAGGCGTTTCGTTCTGCTCCGTTGAACTTGAGGCTTTAGCAACAGATTGCGTCCTAATTAGAGTTTTGAACTGAAACCTCTATATTGTTTCAATATTAGTTTCGCCAGTCATTCTTCACTAAAAAGTTGATGTTAACCAATCGTTTTCGATGCTTTTTTATGGCGTTTCTAATAGCATAATATAGTTTTGTTATACGCGAAAGTGGAAATGCATATAAGATTTTTGGTTTTCTGGAATATCTGCACTCTTTAACACAGGCCCAGGAAAGCACCTTGAGTACCAGGTTTAGCTAAAAAAAATCCTCAGAGAAAAATTCCAATTGTTTTTCGGTAAACAGCCTGTTAGACAGATATGAAGGTACGTAATTATACCTAATTGTCAATTGACAATTGAATACTTTCTGTTGAACTTTGACAACCATTTGCTACATTTTTGAAGGAACACACAATTTTAACTCATGCCACTTGGCTTCATGCACGTTTAGAGCAGATAGTCTTTAAATGGTGAATAATTTCATTTCTAATTAATATTATTACAGGTTGGTGACAAATTCTTCGAAGCGTACAGGGTTGGCGTAATTTATTGGCCCTGTGTGCAGACGGTGAATTTCGCCTTTGTACCACCACGGAACCAAGTGGTATTCACGTCGTTTTTTAGCATGTGCTGGACAACATTTCTGACATACGTAAAGTATTTGCATTCACAGCCCGTCGAAATCGATCATCATATTTTCGATGTGCACATCCATTTCACGCACTAGAAAGCTAAATTTTCGATCGGTAGGTGGCGAGAAGTGTGTGGGCTCAGCACTAGCGGATTACTAAAATATCTATAGTATTTAATTATAAACAATAAAGTTAACTACTGATATATTATTTATTTAATCTTATTATAAATAAACCCGTAAAAATGAAGCAAAGCCACATTCTCATTATTATTATTTTTTTTTAAAGTAAGTATAAAGTCGCATTAAACGCAAAATCATATTTCAATTTGAAAAACAGAAAATAAAATACATACATCCATACATATACATATGCACACCACAAAGAGTAGAATTTTTTTCCAACGAAAGTCAAGAAGAACAAGAGATCTTCACTGCCATAGCTATATCAAGAAATATTATTAACGTGGTGCTCCCTTGTGTAATCAGCACATATCCTTCCTCTTAAATCTATTTCTTGCCCTCTTTCCGGCTTTGTTTTTGTCTTTTGTGATATGTGTCGAAAATCATTAGCTGCAGGAATACGTGCGCGGATGTGCGTTGAAGTAAAATCAAAATAACAATAACAGCATTAAGAACTGGGTTAAACCTTATACGGCTGGCGCACACCCCCTACATACATACTTCGAATCTATGATATAAGCGATGTCATCGACACCCAAAAGTAAAAGGAATTAGGGCGAAGTGTAATCAACATAATCAGTGAGCTCTGCTGCGCTCATACGGCGCGTGTTCACACTTTTTTGCCAATATTTAAATTTCTATTTTCATCGCCCTATCTTACGTGCATAAGCAACATTATTGCAACAATTGAGAAAGGAATGAGGACATGCTTTAATGCGCGCAAATATTGGATTACTTCGAGTTGAGCAAGTAATCCTGGCAGACGCTTTTATTATCAATGGAGCTACCATGGCAATGCTTTTACTATTTATACATACATACATATTTTTGAATAATCATCATCCCACCCCTTCCACAAACGGACATCTAATACATATACATATATGAGTGTATGTTCAGTTGTAATATATTTTCGTATAATCACCGCCTTTCTCTTACGTTTTAAGTTTTCCACAGTCTCCTTTAGACACGATATTATTCTCATGTTTCAGTATATTAATGAAGAGGGAGAATAATTTCGTCTGTTCAGAAATTTCAACATTTTTCCCATTTAAGACTTATAATTACTTATACATATATAATATAATAGTTAGCGACGAACGGTGCTGATTTCGTTTCACTCCACCACAACTTTTATCAAAGAACTTGTGCTTTGTCAAGATTTCTTTGCTTTTGATTGTGGTCCGTGGTGAGTAATGCAAAACCGAGTTTTTAATTAAAATTAATTTCGGCAAAGTGATTATTTTATAAAATTTGCCAGTATGTTAATACATACATATATACATACCTACATACGAGTACATATTTTGCAACATGTGGCCTGGCGTTGCCAGGATGGAAAAGAACTCCTTTGCGATTGGCCAAAATCGGACCTTTTTCATCAATTGCTTTCTTCAATTCGACCAATTGCTGACAATACTTGTTGGCAGTGATCGTTTCTCTAGCTGGCAAGATATCCCACCAAATACACAGCAGTACCTTTATCGGATGCAATCCACCTTTCGTCATCGGTTCCGCCTCTTCGTGTGCCTGTTTCCATGTTCTTTTGCGTTGAATATTGTTGTTCAGGATCCATTTTTCATCACCAGTCACGAGCCGATCCAAAAAAGGTTCGTTTTTGATCCACCGAAGCAAAGAAATTGCTGTTGACATACAGCCCACTTTGTTTTTTTCACTCAACTGATGTGGCACCCATGTATCGAGCTACAAAGTGTACCCAACCTTTTTTAAACGACAAAACGCAGTTGATTTGTTGACTTTCTATTCTCTGGCAACCTCTTCCGTCGAAATACGTGAGTTATTCGCAAATCAAGTCCTTAGACCATCGTCATCAAGCTCAGAAGGCCGTCCACTGCGAGGTTGATCTCCAGAACGAAATTTCGCGAACCATTTCTTTACTGTGCGGAGTGTTGGAGCCCGGCCCAGATAAACTTCGCGAATATCTTTAGTTGCAGCGCCTACTGTTTTTCCTATGCGGAATTCGTATAACATAATATGACGCATGTGATCTTTTTCGTTGTCCATCTTCCATGCGTCTTTTCACTAAGCAACTCAAATCAAAATAAAGTTATTTTATGCTTGATTTACAGTTCGGACTGTCACCTTTCCAACGATATATAATATGTATATATTTCTTTCACGAGCGCCACTCTCAGACGATTCGAACGGCATCCAGCGGAATCGGACACGAACTTTGCATTCATCCAATGAATGTATCGAAGGGTGCGGGTTTTCGAAATTATTATTCGTTTTATTTATTTAAAAAAGTTAATTATTACTAATATATTTTACCAAAAAATTACGTTTGCGCTGAAAAATAATTGAAAATCATCTTCTATAGTCGTTCTACATTACGATTTTGAGAAGTGAGCGGGCACAAACGGTCCCCAAGTCATATTGAGGGCCTGCAAGGTTTTATTATGTGTTTGGTGGGATTTGTCAAGAAATCATCCACTATAAGCTGCTCTTCTACAGTCAAACTTCTAATTCGGACCTGTGCTGTCAACAATTGGACGTCTGAAGGAAGCAATCACCTAGAAACGTCCAACTTTGATCATCAGGGGGGAAATGGTTTTTTTTTGGTATATTGTTTTATTGAATCTTTCATTTTTGGAAACTAACATTAATTTCGAAAATCTTAAAGCTAATTCTTATTTCTGGAACAAGTTAATCATTGCCACTGTAGAGATTAACAAAGTAAACAAAGTACAATAAATTACGAATATAACTTAGATTTATCAAAGAATGTGTCTATATAGATATCATCAGGGATACCAAACACTCATGTTTAAAATTTAACAAAAGATATATCATAAAGAATAATTTAAAGTAAACTATAATATCATGAGGATATATTCTGCGCGCAACTCCGATGTAGAATAATTCGATGCGGCAGTGCCCTTAGTCACAGTTCCAACATAATAATGATTTGCCTGAAGCTTGGTACATCCAACTAATAGTCCGGACTTCGCACCAAGCGTTTACCATTTTTTCCTGTATATAGTTATAATGATTTGGCTGGTGAAGAATTGACCTTAAGAGAAGCATGTGAAAACCAATTGTCCCAACTTTTTGCCAATAGTGAGAACGGGTTTCTGCGAGAGAGGCATAAAGACAATGTCTTTAAAATGCAAAAAGTTGTCAAGAAAAACGGTACATATTTAACATAATTTGGATAATTCTAATTGAATTGGAAGAATCTGCAGTTTTTACAATTAATTTAGCCTAAGCTCGCTGACAGGGCCAGCATCCCCAGCCCTCGGAACACATCTCTCACTCGCTCCTTGTGGTAGCTTTTAGCTGTTTCAGCCATACAGTCATCTACGGCTCTTGAATTTGGCCATGCCTGGCGATTATGGAGACTGTGACATCGTTAATCCACATTGACCGTTGGATCTGGGACAGGAAGTATTTTCAGGCAATACTGATAACTTAAGAAAATGTTATCTTATTTGATGTATGCTTAAGGCAAAAGCATTGAAAGTTTGAGAGCCATTGTGCGGTTGTCAGAACTGCAGATAATCTAATAATTAGCGCTGCGCCGTAAATAGATATAAACATAAACAAAATAAGAATTCCGTATTATTTGGTTATTTATCGACAGTTTTGATGTTATTCCGTTTTCGCGCATTAGTTAACAAATATATTTTTTTAGGTCAAGGGAGTTTTCAAACTTTGTATACAAAACATCATATTTTACAAATCCTTTTACAAGGTAATACTTGGATATCTACTCCAATAAAGTCTGTACTTTGACTAACACCCTTAATTTTACATATTTCGTTTCGTTTCGCTTTCGATTGGATTTGCGGGTTCGCACCGGCGTTCAAATTATTGAGACTAACGCCAAAACCCTGTAATCCATATTATTAATTAAATCTATTTGGTGCTTTTGGTACAAAGATTGTACTCAGCTCAAGGCAGCACTTTCTTCTTGTTTTCTCTTGGAATCAATACACAAATAATATGAGAGTTGAAAGGAAACTCGCATGGGACAGCAGCTTTCTTTTGCTATAGATGCCAAAACTGTTGTCAAATGCCTGTCGCTTCTCTTTTGTAGCTTTAATTCTGAAGAGATCGACTTTCCGTTTTGTTTTATGTGGAGGCCAATGTTGTGTGGCATTATATGTATGTATGTATGTATATATATATATATATATATGTATTTCATTTTTGCTTTTATCGTTGGCTTTGCGTTGGTGTTTAATGTCGCCTTCTGCATTTGTTTTGGTTGTAGTTGCTGCTAACAACAACACATTTGAAACTTGAATTATACCATCGGCGCATGTAGAAAAAGAACGCAGTAGGAGTTCTGTTTTTATTAGTGCTCGGCTGCGCTGTAGGGGTCCCGTTTGAAGTACAATCACATATTTTTATTTTTATTGCTTTAGTTTTTTGCTTTGGCAGAGACATACACACCTACATGTGGAAAAATGTGTTGCTGTTGGTATGTGGATATGAAATTGCTTCATTTAATATCGACGAATTAGTTTAGCGTAAGATTAGCTTATTTTCGTGCTATTAGAGACCACTTTAAAATCGACGAAGAGGTGCCGAGTGTTGATCGTTTTCACACGGGTGAGGCATACTGAATATATGGTCAATGGTGTGATACGAAACTGCCATATATGACCTTATGAGTCTGTGGAGCATCTCTTTCTATGTACTGGGTGTAGTTACACGCCTAAGATCTAACCGACGAACTATATTGAACAAATAAACTAATGTAAAGCACCTTGTAAGTCACCATAAGCCACCATATTGGAGTAGCTCAAAAAGGAAAATATCGGCCCGCGGCGCTCGGTTGTTCTTCTGGCGTGTAATTGCAATTCAAAGTTCATTAGAGTCGGATTTTGGAACGTCTAAGTATTACCTCGTTCTCCGACCAAAGACTGATATTCCCGCAATATGCT